TGCAGAGTCAATGTGCGGGGGCACCGGCTAGTTGAGGTAGTTGAAGTAATATTTACATGTGGGTAGAGTTAAAGTGATGCATAAATAATTAACAGACTAGCAGCAGCGTAAAAAGATGGGGTGGGGGGCAGTGCAAATAGTCCGGGTAGCCATGATTAGCTGTTCAGGAGTCTTATGGCTTGGGGGTAGAAGCTGTTGAGAAGTCTTTTGGACCTAGACTTGGCACTCCGGTACCGCTTGCCGTGCGGTAGCAGAGAGAACAGTCTATGACTAGGGTGGCTGGAGTCTTTGAGAATTTTGAGGGCCTTCCTCTGACACCGCCTGGTATAGAGGTCCTGGATGGCAGGAAGCTTGGCCGCAGTGATGTACTGGGCCGTACACACTACCCTCTGTAGTGCCTTGCGGTTGGAGGCCAAGCAGTTGCCATACCAGGCGGTGATGCAACCAGTCTGGATGCTCTCGATGGTGCAGCTGTATAATTTTTTGAGGATCTGAGGACCCATGCCAAATCTTTTCAGTCTCCTGAGGGGGAATAGGCTTTGTCGTGCCCTCTTCATGACTGTCTTGGTGTGTTTTGACCATAATAATATGATAGTTCGTTGGTGATGTGGACACCAAGGAACTTGAAGCTCTCAACCTGTTCCACTACAGCCCCGTCTATGAGAATTGGGGTGTGCTCAGTCCTCTTTTTTTTCCCTGTAGTCCACAATCATCTCCTTTGTCTTGGTCACATTGAGGGAGAGGTTGTTATCGTTGTCGGTGATCAGGCCTACCACTGTTGTGTCGTCTGCAAACTTAATGATTGTGTTGGAGTCATGCCTGGCCATGCAGTCATGGGTGAACAGGGAGTACAGGAGGGGACTGAGCACGCACCCCTGAGGGGCCCCTGTGTTGAGGATCAGTGTGGCAGATGTGTTGTTACCTACCCTTACCACCTGGGGGCGGCCCGTCAGGAAGTCCAGGATCCAGTTGCAGAGGGAGGTGTTTAGTCCCAGGATCCTTAGCTTAGTGATGAGCTTTGAGGGCACTATGGTGTTGAATGCTGAGCTGTAGTCAATGAATAGCATTCTCACGTAGGTGTTCCTCTTGTCCAGGTGGGAAAGGGCAGTGTGGAGTGCAATAGAGATTGCATCATCTGTTTGGGCGGTATGCAAATTGGAGTGGATCTAGGGTTTCTGGGATAATGGTGTTGATGTGAGCCATGACCAGCCTTTCAAAGCACTTCATGGCTACAGACGTCAGTGCTACGGGTCGGTAGTAATTTAGGCAGGTTATCTTAGTGTCCTTGGGCACGGGGACTATGGTGGTCTGCTTGAAACATGTTGGTATGACATACTCAGTCAAGGACATGTTGAAAATGTCAGTGAAGACACTTGCCAGTTGGTCAGCACATGCTCGGAGTACACCTCCTGGTAATCCGTCTGGCCCTGCGGCCTTGTGAATGTTGACCTGCTTAAAAGTCTTACTCACATCGGCTACGGAGAGCGTGATCACATAGTCATCCGGAACAACTGGTGCTGTCATGCATGCTTCAGTGTTGCTTGCCTCGAAGCGAGCATAGAAGTGGTTTAGCTCGTCTGGAAGTCTTGTGTCACTGGGCAACTCGCGGCTGTGCTTCCCTTTGTAGTCTGTAATAGTTTTCAAGCCCTGCCACATCCGACGAGCGTCAGAGCCGGTGTAGTACGATTCAATCTTAGTCCTGTATTGACTCTTTGCCTGTTTGATGGTTCGTCTGAGGGCATAGTGGGATTTCTTATAAGCGTCCGGGTTAGAGTCCCGCTCCTTGAAAGCGGCAGCTCTACCCTTTAGCTCAGTGCGGATGTTGCCTGTAATCCATGGCTTCTGGTTGGGGTATGTACGTACGGTTACTGTGGGGACGACATCATCGATGCACTTATTGATGAAGCCAGTGACTGATGTGGTGTACTCCTCAATGCTATCTGAAGAATCCCGGAACATGTTCCAGTCTGTGCTAGCAAAACAGTCCTGTAGCTTAGCATCTGCGTCATCTGACCACTTTTTTATTAACCGAGTCACTGGTGCTTCCTGCTTTAGTTTTTGCTTATAAGCAGCAATCAGGAGGATAGAGTTATGGTCAGATTTGCCAAATGGAGGGCGAGGGAGAGCTGTGTGTGGAGTAAAGGTGGTCTAGAGTTTTTTTTCCTCTGGTTGCACATTTAACATGCTGGTAGAAATTAGGTAAAACGGATTTAAGTTTCCCTGCATTAAAGTCCCTGGCCACTAGGAGCGCTGCCTCTGGATGAGCGTTTTCCTTTTGACTTATGGCCTTATACAGCTCATTGAGTGCAATCTTAATGCCAGCATTGGTTTGTGGTGGTAAATAGACAGCTATGAAAAATATAGATGAAAACTCTCTTGGTAAATAGTGTGGTCTACAGCTTATCATGAGATACTCTACCTCAGGCGAGCAAAACCTTGAGACTTCCTTAGAATTGGATTTTGTGCACCAGCTGTTGTTTACAAATATACACAGACCGCCACCCCTTGTCTTACCGGAGTCAGCCGTTCTATCCTGCCGATGTAGCGTATAGCCCGCTAGCTGTATGTTGTCCATGTCGTCGTTCAGCCACGACTCGGTGAAACATAAGATATTACAGTTTTTAGTGTCCCGTTGGTAGGATAACCGTAATCTTAGGTCATCCCATTTATTCTCAAATGATTGAAGATTGGATAATAGGATTGATGGGAGAGGCAGTTTACTCGCTCGCCGTCGGATCCTTACAATGCACCCCGACCTACGTCCACGATATCTCCGTCTCTTCCTCATGCGAATGACGGGGATTTGGGCCTTGTCGGGTGTCTGTAGGCTGTCCTTCGCGGCCGCCTCGTTGAAGAAAAAATCTTCATCCAATATGAGGTGAGTAATCGCTGTCCTGATATCCAGAAGCTCTTTTTGGTTATAAGAGACGATGGCAGAAACATTATGTACAAAATAAATTACAAATAACGCGGTAAAACACACATAATAGTACAATTGGTTAGAGGGCTGTAAAACGGAAGCCATCTTCTCCGGCGCCATTCTCTATAGTGTATGTAAAACGGCAGCCATCTTCTCCGGCGCCATTATCTGTCTATAGTGTATCTTTTTTTTTTTTTACATTTTTAGTCATTTAGCAGACGCTCTTATCCAGAGCGACTTACAGTTAGTGAATACACATATATATATATATATATATATATTATTATTTTTTATACTGGCCCCCCGTGGGAATCGAACCCACAACCCTGGCGTTGCAAACGCCATGCTCTATCAACTGAGCTACATCCCTGCCGGCCATTCCCTCCCCTACCCTGGACGACGCTGGGCCAATTGTGCGCCGCCCATGAGTCTCCCGGTCGCGGCCGGCTGCGACAGAGCCTGGATTCGAACCAGGATCTCTAGTGGCACAGTTAGCACTGCGATGCAGTGCCTTAGACCACTGCGCCACTCAGTATCTATATATGTATATTAGGGCTGTCAAATGATTAAAATTTTTAATCAAATTAATCAGAATTTTCAGTGGATTAATCATGATTAATCACTATTTGCAATTACACCTGAATCCTAACCATTTTTTTTCTGAAATGCATACCAAAAGATAAATAACAGGACACAGATACATAATTTTCATATTATGTCTGTTTATTAACACAGCCAAATAATGGTGTTTTAAATCAAGCTGAAACATACTACACACCATAATATTTGTCTTTGTAATGTTCCATCACTTCCTCTTTGGCATTCCTCTTAACCAGGATGTACAATTTACAGTATTCAATTGAACAGAAAGCAATAAATGTAGTCAAATCATAACAGTGACCTACCACATTTTTGCACAATTTGAGTCATCTGTGGAAAAAAAACATTTTCAATAAAACTTTTAAATCAAACCAAAGAACAATCTTTTACCTTTTCCTCCATTCTTTAATCCAGTTGCTCAAAAATCCAGTTGCTAACTACTATAACATGTTGCACTGAAACTGGTCTTTTTGTTTGAACATCACCTTTCAAATCTACTGAGCTTCATCATCGTTCAGCCAGTTGCTGAGGCAAACTAACTTGTTCACATTTTCTGAAAGTAAAGCTGACCTTTTCTTGTTCACAATGTGACCTGCAACTGAGAAAAGTCGTTCACAGGGAACAGTGGTTGCAGGAGTGGCTAGATATGTTTTTTACTCACTGATGTCCAATGGTCTCCTGTCAGGGCGATATGATTTACTTGAGCCAAGACCTCTTTCCTTTTTTCTTTTTCGTTTTCATAGAGCTCGTGGATTTTCTTCATAACTGTGGCTCTTGACGGTGGCTTATAGAATGAGTCTTGAGACGCCACTTGCAAAACATCAAGGAAACCTGAGTCTTCTACAATGCTAATGGGTCTACAATCCTTTGCAATCCATTTTGCTATTGTGTTGGTCAAATTATCTGAGGTTGATTTTGTTAATTGCCTGCAAACATTCAGCGTGGTCTGGCGCAAACCACTTGCTGAATCTGACGGCCCAGCAAACGCATGTTTGGCGTTGACATGGTACTTCAAGCTTGAACAGCTCCGGTGAAATTGAAACTCCTTCTTACAAATCTTGCAAATAACCTTGTACTTGTTAACTGTACCATCATCATTCTTTTTATATTTGAATCCGTCAATAGGCCCACTTTGCTCACCTTGCTCCATCTCGCCTCTAGCTCCCAACCACTTTCCTGACCTGAATAATTTGTCACACTGCGCATGCGTGAAATGCGTTAAAAAAATTGACGTAATTAACAGCAAACAACTAATTAACGTCGTTAACGCGCTATTTTTGACAGCCCTAATATATATATATGTGTGTGTGCATCGCCTATATTTATGCAAAAAGAATAACGGGATAATAAAAACAAATCTCTGTATTTTCTACTGCGGTGGTAGAGCTGACCCTGTGGGCTGTGTATTTGCCCTTGAGGGGATAAACAACGTTTTTAAGTGTTTAATTGAATCTATTTCCTCTGCTCTGCCCCCCTGTAGGTGGAGGAGACCCAGTACGCGGTGGACCAGAACCAGCTGAAAGAGTACTTCCCCATGGAGGTGGTGACCCGGGGCCTGTTGGACATCTACCAGGAGCTGCTCAACCTCACCTTTGACCTGGTGGAGGGCGCTCCTGTGTGGCACGACGACGTCACCCTCTACTGCGTCAAGGACCGCACCTCAGGCACGGTGGTGGGCCAGTTCTACCTGGACCTCTTCCCAAGGTGAGTCGGAGGAAAGCAGAGGAGATCAAAAAGGGGCAAGGATTTTAAAGATTGCCGCCTTTGGTTTACTATTTTATTTTATTTAGCCTTTATTTTAACAGGAATTCATGCTGAGACCAAGGTCTCTTTCACATGTGCCCCCTGTGTACACATCAAACACATAAATATACACTATACACATCAATATACATCAATACTTCACAATACCAGTATATACGGCTATACCCATCAGCTAACCCTATACACACCAAGCTATCCACATCAATATTTGACTAAAATCAAATACACATCAATATCCACTCAAATTCACTTTACACATCATATTCCATCCAATATACACTATACACATAAATTTCCACATCATAACCTCATACACCTCCATCTACACTATAAATACAACATCAATATTATATAATATAATACTATACACATCAATAGTCACATCAATATACACATCAATATTCACATCAATATACACTATACACATCAATATACACTATACACATCAATATACACATCAATATACACATATACACATCAATATACACTACACATCAATATACACATCAATATTCACTATACACATCAATATACACATCAATATTCACTATACACATCAATATACACATCAATATTCACTATACACATCAATATACACTATTCACATCAATATTCACATCAATATTCACTATACACATCAATATTCACATCAATATACACTATACACATCAATATTCACATCAATATACACTATACACATCAATATACACATCAATATACACTATACACATCAATATACACTACACATCAATATACACATCAATATTCACTATACACATCAATATACACATCAATATACACATCGATATACACTATACACATCTATATATATATATATATTATATATATATATATATATATATATATATATATAGACTATACACATCAATATACACATCGATATACACATCAATACACATCAATATTCACATCGATATACACTATAAACGTCAATATACACTATACACATCAATATACACATCAATATTCACATCAATACACGAAAAAGCAAAACAATGTGTTATGTACGATGAATGTTGTGATATATCGATCTTTTATAAGGATTTGATCCTTTTTGGGAGGGGAAGAAATCTGTATTTCATTGCTCTGCAGAGTTGCAGTTTAATTTTGTAAATTAAGTTCAACTGCAATTAAAATAAAGAAGGAGCTCACCTTTGCTCGTCAACATTATGAGGGAGACAATAAAAAAAATATACATATCAAAAGTTTTAGCCAGTCATGTTCAACAGTCATGGTGATTGTGTGTAACCCCCCCCCAGAGAGGGGAAGTACGGCCACGCGGCCTGCTTCGGCCTGCAGCCCGGCTGTCTGCTGTCGGACGGGACCCGCCAGATGGCGGTGGCAGCCATGGTGGCCAACTTCAGCAAGCCCACGGCCGACGCCCCTTCCCTGCTGCAGCATGACGAGGTGGAGACCTACTTCCACGAGTTTGGCCATGTCATGCACCAGCTCTGCGCTCAGGTGTGTGTGTGGTGTCATTACTAGTATACAACATTGTTCTGTTCCTAAGCACTGAAATTAATGTTTGTCTGAATAAACCAGGGGGGGCCAGTATGAACAATGTATGCACTCACTAATTGTAAGTCGCTCTAGATAAGAGCGTCTGCGAAATGACTAAAATGTCAAAAAAATAAAGGCATTTTAGTGTGATGGTTAATATATTTCCCACTCTGGCTGTTAATTTCCTGTAAAATCAACCTGAAAGAGTTTGTAAACAAGGACTTCTTGCAAGTCACTTTAATGCCTGAGAGGGCAGTGTCCTCCTCTGATTATTCAATCTAAAATATATATACACTGCTCAAAAAAAAAAGGGAACACTTAAACAACACGTCACCCTCAAAATTAAAGTGGAAAACCACACTAAAGGCTGATCCAACTTTGATGTAATGTCCTTAAAACAAGTCAAAATGAGGCTCAGTAGTGTGTGTGGCCTCCACGTGCCTGTATGACCTCCCTACAACGCCTGGGCATGCTCCTGATGAGGTGGCGGATGGTCTCCTGAGGGATCTCCTCCCAGACCTGCACTAAAGCATCCGCCAACTCCTGGACAGTCTGTGGTACAACGTGGCGTTGGTGGATGGAGCGAGACATGATGTCCCAGATGTGCTCAATTGGATTCAGGTCTGGGGAACGGGCGGTCCATAGCATCAATGCCTTCCTCTTGCAGGAACTGCTGACACACTCCAGCCACATGAGGTCTAGCATTGTCTTGCATTAGGAGGAACTCAGGGCCAACCGCACCAGCATATGGTCTCACAAGGGGTCTGAGGATCTCATCTCTGTACCTAATGGCAGTCAGGCTACCTCTGGCGAGCACATGGAGGGCTGTGCGGCCCCCAAAGAAATGCCACCCCACACCATGACTGACCCACCGCCAAACCGGTCATGCTAGAGGATGTTGCAGGCAGCAGAACATTCTCCACGGCGTCTCCAGACTCTGTCACGTCTGTCACATGTGCTCAGTGTGAACCTGCTTTCATCTGTACAGGGCGCCAGTGGCGAATTTGCCAATCTTGGTGTTCTCTGGCAAATGCCAAACGTCCTGCACGGTGTTGGGCTGTAAGCACAACCCCCACCTGTGGACGTCGGGCCCTCATACCACCCTCATGGAGTCTGTTTCTGACCGTTTGAGCAGACACATGCACATTTTGCAGGGCTCTGGCAGTGCTCCTCCTGCTCCTCCTTGCACAAAGGCGGAGGTAGCGGTCCTGCTGCTGGGTTGTTGCCCTCCTACGGCCTCCTCCACGTCTCCTGATGTACTGGCCTGTCTCCTGGTAGCGCCTCCATGCTCTGGACACTACGCTGACAGACACAGCAAACCTTCTTGCCACAGCTCGCATTGATGTGCCATCCTGGATGAGCTGCACTACCTGAGCCACTTGTGTGGGTTGTAGACTCCGTCTCATGCTACCACTAGAGTGAAAGCACCGCCAGCATTCAAAAGTGACCAACACATCAGCCAGGAAGCATAGGAACTGAGACGTGGTCTGTGGTCACCACCTGCAGAACCACTTCTTTATTGGGGGTGTCTTGCTAATTGCCTATAATTTCCACCTGTTGTCTATTCCATTTGCACAACAGCATGTGACATGTATTGTCAATCAGTGTTGCTTCCTAAGTGGACAGTTTGATTACACAGAAGTGTGATTGACTTGGAGTTACATTGTGTTGTTTTAAGTGTTCCCTTTATTTTTTTGAGCAGTGTATTTCATATTATACATGCATGATATTTTTTATTCAGACTGATATGAACATCAAATTGTTCCAGTTTGATGTCTACTACTAACACCTCAGGATTAGTTTATTAACAGATCCCTGTCTCTCCTCTGTCTCTGCTGCTACCAGGCTGACTTTGCCATGTTCAGCGGGACTCACGTGGAGCGGGACTTTGTGGAGGCGCCCTCCCAGATGCTGGAGAACTGGGTGTGGGAGAAAGAGCCCCTGCAGCGCATGTCCAAACACTACAAGACGGGTGCCCCTATCCCTGACGACCTGCTGGATAAACTCATGAAGTCCCGGCTGGCCAACACGGGTGGGTCACTACGAAACAATGCCCTGGTTCCTTAATAGAACACCCCTTAACACCTTGTACACCAGTGCTGGAGGTTAGGTTATTGGGCTGTGGTCACCAAACAGACTCCTGAAGAACTACCTGGTTTACAGGTATCAGTGTGTTAAAGTGTTAACCCTCTCCCTCCCATGCAGGTATGTTTAACCTGCGTCAGATTGTCCTGGCCAAGGTGGACCAGGCACTCCACACCAAGAATGGCCTGGACCCGGCCGAGGAGTACGCCCGGCTGTGCCAGGAGATCCTGGGCGTGCCCGCATCCTCAGGTCAGAGACAACCTCAACCAATGAGCCAGACCACCATCACAGCTGTAGTTTGGTAGCCTGGTCCCAGATCTGTTTGTGCCATCTTGCCAACTCCTATGGTAATTGTCACAGCTTTTAAACAATCCTTTCTCTTTGCCATTGTGCCCATAGGAACCAACATGCCTGCCACGTTTGGCCACCTGGCAGGTGGTTACGACGCCCAGTACTACGGCTACCTCTGGAGCGAGGTCTACTCCATGGACATGTTCTACGCCCGCTTCAAGCAGGAGGGCATCATGAACCCCAAGGTTGGCACAGCTGAGCAATTTATTTACAATCTTATCTGTTATTTACAATGCTGTTTTTACACTTGACCATCTTCAGCTATTATCTAGTAATTGGTATCAGCCGTTATTGATTCTAGTGACTACCTGCAGCCCTGACTTTGGTTTTTGAGCTCCAAATGATTTCACCACGGCAGAAATGTAATTGTTTTTTGGCTAAGATGGCCTTCTGCTTAATGCCGATGTCTTTTTCCATCTCCCAGGTGGGGCTCGACTACAGAAACTTTATTCTGAAGCCCGGAGGCTCGGAGGACGCTGAACTGATGCTCAAGAACTTCCTAGGGCGGGAGCCAAAGCAAGAAGCTTTCCTTCTGAGCAAAGGACTAACGGTGGAGCTGGAGGCGGACACTCCATGTGCCTGTTGACCAATCACAACCAGCTTAGCGTAAACGTCCCCCAACCAATCATACACTTAGGACACGGGCACAAGGGACCTACATTTTCTAGAAAAAAAATGAAGACAAGAATTGATGAAGAGAATAATTTCACGTTTCCGCTGCTCTAGAGCAGTGTTCCCCAACCCTGGTCCTCCAGTACCCCAACAGGACACATTTGTGTTGTAACCCTGGACAAGCACACCTCATTCAACTTGTCAACTAATCATCAAGCCCTCAATGAGTTGAATAAGGTGTGTTTGTCCAGGGTTACAACAAAAATGTGTACTGACCAGGGTTGGGAAAAACTGCTCTACATGAAATATCACCCAGTTTCCCCCTTTTGTGCTGTGTTTTGAGTTGAGGTATGTTTTAAACTGCAATTGTATTCAAGTAAGGATGAGCAAAATACACTAACAAAGAATTGACTTGACCCTTTTGTCGGCATTTGTTGAATTCTGTCAGTTTTCTCAGAAGAAGTAGCTCTCCAGTTTCTGCAGAGCTGCAATATGTACTGTTCCTAGACCAGGGGCCATCAAACTCATTTTGGGCAGAATCTCTGACGATTCAGTATCCTGTCTGGTAAAACGAGGCGTAATACTAACTCCCCTCAGAATGAGGCTCTAGCCTTTCACTTGAAGTACACTCGCGGCCATAAAGCTGTTATAACACACTGTCCTAAGAATACAACCGTTGTTACACTCGCAGCCATAAAGCCATTACAACACTGTCCTAAGAATACAACCGTTGTTACACTCGCAGCCATAAAGCCATTACAACACTGTCCTAAGAATCAACCAATCAAATGTAATTATAAAGCCCTTTTAACGTCAGCAGATGTCACAAAGTGCTATACAGAAACCCAGCCTAAAACCTCAAACAGCAAGCAATGCAGATGTAGAAGCACGGTGGCTAGGAAAAATTCCCTAGAAAGGCAGAAACCTAGGAAGAAACCTAGAGAGGAACCAGGCTCTGAGGGGTGGCCAGTCGTCTTCTGGCTGTGCCGGGTGGAGATTATAAGAGTACATGGCCATTTAAGGCCAGATTGTTCTTCAAGATTATCAAATGTTCATAGATGACCAGCAGGGTCAAATAATAATCACAGTGGTTGTAGAGGGTGCAACAGGTCAGTACCTCAGGTGTAAATGTCAGTTGGCTTTTCATAGCCGAGCATTCAGAGGTCGAGACAGCAGGTGCGGTAGAGAGAGAGTGGAAAACAGCAGGTCCAGGACAAGGTAGCACGTCCGGTGAATAGATCAGGGTACCCTAGCTGCAGGCAGAACAGTTGAAACTGGAGCAGCAGTACGACCAGGTGGACTGGGGACAGCCAGGAGTCATCAGGCCAGGTAGTCCTGATCCTAGGGCTCAGGTCCTCCGGGAGGGGAGGGAGAGAGAGAGAATTAGAGGGAGCATACTTAAATTCACACGACACCAGATAAGACAGGAGAATTACACCAGATATAACAGACTGACCCTAGCCCCCTGGCACATAGACTATTGCAAGCCAATGTAATGCTTTGTAGGTTAACAGTAAGAACTTGAAATCAACACACTAAGAATACAACTGTTGTTACACTCCAGGCCATAAAGCTGTTACAACACACTGTCCTAAGAATACAACTGTTGTTACACTCCAGGCCATAAAGCTGTTACAACACACTGTCCTAAGAATACAACTGTTGTTACACTCCAGGCCATAAAGCTGTTACAACACACTGTCCTAAGAATACAACTGTTACTGTATAATTAATATCTTAACATATCTCTGTGGATTGATCACTGTCGAGCCACGTCAGAGAAACCATTGAGTATATACTACATGACGAGAAGTATGTGGACACCTGCTCGTCGAACATCTCATTCCAAAATCATGGGCATCAATATGGTGTTGGTCCCCCCTTTGCTGCTATAACAGCCTCTACTCTTCTGGGAAGGCTTTCCACTAGATGTTGGAACATTGCTGCAGGGACTTGCTTCCATTCAGCCACAAGCGCATTAGTGAGGTCGGTCACTAATGTTGGGAAATTAGGCCTGGCTCGCAGTCGGCGTTCCAATTAATCCCAAAGGTGTTCGATGGGGTTGAGGTCAGGGCTCTGTGCAGGCCAGTCAAGTTCTTCCACACCGCTCTCGACAAACCATTTATGTATGGACCTCGCTTTGTGCACGGGGGCATTGTCATGCTGAAACAGGAAAGGGCCTTCCCCAAACTGTTGCCACAAAGTTGGAAGCACAGAATCGTCTAGAATGTCATTGTATGCTGTAGCGTTAAGATTTCCCTTCACTGGTAGTAAGGGGCTTAGCCCGAACCATGAAAAACAGCCCCAGACCATTATTCCTCTACCAAACTTTACAGTTGGCACTATGCATTGGGGCAGGTAGCGTTCTCCTGGCATCCGCCAAACCCAGATTCGTACGTTGGACTGCCAGATGGTGAAGTGTGATTCATCACTCCAGAGAACGCATTTCCACTGCTCCAGAGTCCAATGGCGGAGAGCTTTACACCACTCCAGCCGACGCTTGGCATTACGCATGGTGATCTTAGGCTGCTCGGCCATTTAAACCCATTTCATGAAGCCCCCGACGAACAGTTATTGTGCTGACGTTGCTTCCAGAGGCAGTTTGGAACTCGGTAGTGAGTGTTGCAACTGAGGACAGACTATTTTTTACGCGCTGCGCGCTTCAGCACTTGGCGCTCCTGTTCTGTGAACTTGTGTGGCTTACCACTTTGAGGCTGAGCCGTTGTTGCTCCTAGACGTTTCCACTTCACAATAACAGCACTTACAGTTGACCGGGGGAACTCTAGCAGGGCAGAAGTTTGACGAACTGACTTGTTGAAAAGGTGGCATCCTATGACGGTGCCACATTGAAAGTCACTGAGCGCTTCAGTACTTGCCATTCTACTGCCAATGTTAACTATGGAGATTACATGGCTTTGTGCTTGATTTTATACACCTGTCAGCAATGGGTGTGGCTGAAATAGCCGAATCCACTAATTTGAAGGGGTGTCCACATACTTTTGTATATACACTACCGTTCAAAAGTTTGGGGTCACTTAGAATGTTCCTTGTTTTCGAAAGGAAAGCAATTTTTTTGTCCATTTTAAAATAACATCAAATTGATCAGAAATACAGTGTAGACATTGTTAATGTTGTAAATGGCTATTGTAGCTGGAAACGTCTGATTTTTTAATGGAATATCTACATAGGCGTACAGAGGCCCATTATCAGCAACCATCAGTCATGTGTTCCAATGGCACATTGTGTTTGCTAATCCAAGTTTATCATTTTAAAAGGCTAATTGATCATTAGAAAAACCTTTTGCAATTATGTTAGCACAGCTGAAAACTGTTGTGCTGATTAAATAAGCAATAAAACTGGCCTTCTTGAGACTAGTTGAGTATCTGGAGAATCAGCAAATGTGGGTTCGATTACAGGCTCAAAATGGCCAGAAACAATAACTTTCTTCTGAAACTCGTCAGTCTATTCTTGTTCTGAGAAATGAAGGCTATTCCATGCGAGAACTTGCCAAGAAACTGAAGATCTCGTACAACGCTGTGTACTACTACCTTCACAGAACTGTGCAAACTGGCTCTAACCAGAATAGAAAGAGGAGTGGGAGGCCCCGGTGCAAAAGGACAAATACATTAGTGTCTAGTTTGAGAAACAGGCGCCTCACAGGTCCTCAACTGGCAGCTTCATTAAATAGTACCCACAAAACACCAGTCTCAACATCAACAGTGAAGAGGCGACTCCGGGATGCTGACCTTCTAGGCAGAGTTGCAAAGAAAAAGCCATATCTCAGACTGGACCATCTAAAAGAAATCTTTTCTTTTTAGATGGGCCAGTCTGAGATATGGCTTTTTCTTTGCAACTCTGCCTAGAAGGTCAGCATCCCGGAGTCGCCTCTTCACTGTTGACGTTGAGACTGGTGTTTTGCGGGTACTATTTAATGAAGCTGCCAGTTGAGGACCTGTGAGGCAAGACCTGGGAAATTACAAAAACAAATCCCCAATGTTGGCACTAATGCAATTCCACATGACATGCGCAGCATCAGATTAGCAAAACATTTAATAATACATATCCAAACAAGTTGGCGCCTGGAAGTCTTTAGCCTAGCATATTTACACAAAGTCAAAGCTGGACTGCATACACGACCCGAATGCAGTTAATAAACCCTACATGAAAACTATGTAGCCTATAAAAGAGCGTGTGCCTCTGAGCTGTCGTTGTGACTCTTCAGACAGTCACATTTGATAGGCCAATGCACAATTCACTACATAGGCATCTCTGTCACAGACATGAATTCAGTGAGACATGAGGGAAAATTCTATCTTCTCCTGTCCTGTTCTCCAGCCTGGCTATTTTCATCCACAGTCCCAATCCCACTTAAAGCCAAAATCCTGACTCATGTCTCGCATGAAAATTCCTCACTTTATTCTGTAATCCATAGGTTGCATTATCAAAGCATGTCTATCGCCTATGCATGTCAAAATACTGCTATAACATTTCCCCTGCTTCTCTGTGCTGTCTCATACTTGCTGCCATTATGAAAGCTTCTGTAAAGAATGTGTGATCAACAAACCGTGTGAGATATTTCTAAGGAAGAGTTTTTTATGGAATAGTTTTAAGATGGTCATACCATGGATCATTTAGATATTTTATTTAGAATTTTAAGATCCCTGTAGGTATATACATTTAATCAAAATATTTGATTAAATATTGAATTTGGCCTTTACTACTATAGCCCATAGAAATGCATTGAATAACACATTAATAAATGGCAAAACACACAATCCAAAAATATAAAGAATACGATTTTGAAGTGTCTGTCCCAGAGTGCCCCAAGTAGAGAGATTTACATGGTTATCAAAACGTCACACTAGGGTAAGCCTACACAAAACACAGCCCTTATTTAAAGTGTCTCTAAAATCCCCAATGGGAAAAATGAATGGTGGAAAAACTATTGGAACCATTTCCCTATTTGACTGCTAGGTTTTATGGGTATTATGACTCATACTGTGGTTCTCTATATAATAAATAAATAAATAATGCCATTTAGCAGACGCTTTTATCCAAAGCGACTTACAGTCATGCGTGCATACATTTTTTTATTTTTTATTTTTTTGTGTATGGGTGGTCCCGGGGATCGAACCCACTACCTTGGCGTTACTAGCGCCGTGCTCTACCAGCTGAGCTACAGAGGACCACCTTGGAGAGATATATCTTGGAGAGATAAGAAAGCTCAGGAAATATTTTTCTTTTTTGGACACTTATTTTGTTGGAACAAAATTGGAACCGGGTTACCTTCAGACGAGTCCCGTGACACTTGTGGGTGTTGTAGAAAACCATCATGTTCGTGAGAATCTCATCTTTCCATAGAGTGGTCATACTTCAGACGAGTCCCATGGGGCTCCATTACTACATATCAGTTTTATTTGCTCTGAAATCTTTGGCGCAGCCAAGCCGGGGAGAACCCTGGCATATTGACCATATCTTTGTTTGAAACGTTTTAAATGGGCACTTCTGATTTTGCTGTATTTCCCGGGACTCATGGGATAAATATGAATTATTCCCGGTATTGAAACTTGGTAGATTTTCGGCCAAATGTTAATCCCTATCACACGGTAAAAGAAAAGTTCAGTTTCCGAGCTCTGATAATTGATTTGACTAGTGGCATCAAGCCCATCGGCTCCTAAAAGTGCTTGGTGAAAGCTAGTCTTGAGTTGTAACCAATGACTGTACATATTAAAACGCTCTATCAGTCTTGCCTCTTGTCCCCCATGTAATTAAAGGTGAGCCTCAACTGCAATTCAACAGCCAACTCCCTCTCCTTTCCTTGCCCTTAATGCAATCACTGATCTGACCTGACTGGGTGGGGGAATATATCTAGAGAAATCCTGGCTTTCTCCTACTCACTAGTGTTAGATCAGTAATTACCTCAAAGAAGAGAGGAACCAAGGGTGCAATTTAAAAGTATTTGAACAGGACCATAGGTTGTCTTGGAGAGCTTGATCACCAAGGATGAAATGACAAATAGGATTTGAAGGGAAATAAAAAAACATTAAGTTGTGGAAATCTAATTTCAGTTTGCAACATGAAGCACAAGGAGCAAGAGGTAATTGGATTGGATGCTCACAGTCAGAGTAGCTAAGTCTGGTCAGAATGCATATCTGATTACCTCTGGAGATGAGAAATCAATGTGTGTTATGAGATGAGAGGAAGGTTTTAGCCTGGGACAGTGATAAGTGGGGAGGACCATGGTATCGCCAAGAGGAGCACTCAATATGGAGGTGCTCAGAGGTCAGTCAATTGAAGAACTGGAGCTCAGGTCCAACGTGGTCCAAGTCTTCATCAGCTTCACATTTACAGGTAGGTGTATTTTCATAATGGTATGGGCCCAGTATTTTCATAATGGTACGGGTTCAGTATTTTCACAATGGTATGGGCCCAGTATTTTCATAATGGTATGGGCTCAGTATTTTCACAATGGTGTATGGGTTCAGTATTTTCATTTTCAGGATACAAACTAACGGACTTAACACGATAAAAGAAAGGTGGAGCAAATAAGTCTCCAAAAACAGGCTGACAGCCAAAATACAAAATAGTAACTACGACTGAAATAATAAAGAAACAGGGAGAACACTTCTCTAGTACCTGTACATAATTCTCCAATCAGACACTGATTAGTACTGCTGAGCATAGAGAAACTAGCAGAAAAAACTGAGCAAGGGAACACAGGGAAGTGAGGGCATAAATACACAGGTGAACAGGTAGACACAGATGACACCAATAGGATCATGATTAGTCCAGGCTGTGAGTGAGGAGGTGCCTAAGGTTGTCGGAGCAGGACACCTAGTGGATCGCTCCGGAACTGCGACCCCCTCCTGTAACAGTGAGAGGAATGCCTTATTGGACAAAGCCTATCCTGAACTTCAAGCATTTTGTCAGAGTCTGGGCTTAGTGTTTGAGGTGAGTAGCAGTACATTATGGGCCGCAATCAGACATAAAACATGTCATAGAGTTCTCATTTCAAATCATTATTAGAAAATCATTATTGGGAATTAGAAGTTCATGATTAGGAAGTGTTTGGGGAAGTGTTAAGTATTGACTTAAAGTTCCTTGTCACCGAAGGTTGTGGATATGAGATGGGGCCTCCGGGATGCCATCGCTGTGGACCACATGACCACAGAACTGTGTCTTCAGGAAATACAGGCTTGCAAGAGAGTGTCTGTGGGACCAAGTTTCATTGTAGGTTTACTGTGTAGATGTGCTGTTTCTCTAGCACAGGAGTCCAACTCCAGACTGGAGAGCTACTGAGTTATACACCTAGTAGCTTTCCAGGACCGGTGTTTGAGAACCCTGCGCAAATGTTCATTCGCTCTTCTTTTCCTTGAATGAAGTGGATCTTGAAATCTATAATCCCAACAGTATTTTATGTGTAGTTTTGATTTAATTTGATTCAATTTGTCCCCTGGCTCTCAAGGCTCTGCTAGGGAACCGGTATGGCCACCGCCCTATCCCCCATGTCTTCTGTGGAAAACAATTTGAGGTGCTGCTGTCCAAGCAACCACAGGACCAGGTGGGGCTTCTTCATCAATGGTTCAGGAAAGACAACAATGCAGTCCCGCCTGTCTACGTACTTCAGGCAATCACAACCTCTGTTGCCCCACTACAATGACCTTCGGCCTGACAGTGGGCGGCTGCAGGAAGACAATGTCATTTCCTGGCGCTACACAGAGGCTCGACTATTGCAGCTCCTACGCACTGCGGCCGAGCAGGCTGAGGAAGACGGGGATATCACTGCTGAACAAAAACACCAGTTCTTCAAATCTGGTCAGAGGTTAGCAATATCTTGGATCAGTCATGTTAGAATAGGAGCGAGCTAAAAAACCAGTCGTTTTGTTTGCCTTGTGGTGTGTAGACAAGTGTTGCTAGATCAAGGTGTGTTCTCATGGTGGCTTTCTAGTTACATTTCCACTTAAACTACAATGAATTCACAATGACTTGGTAGCTTATTTGCTTATTAGCTGTAACTTATTGTAGAAAATCCACATTTGTAGAATCGATCAATCCATTTTCTGGTGTTCTCCCTCCATAGTGACGGAGCATGAGATCGAAGAGGGTCTGCGAACACCGAATGGGGACGAGAGCGAGCCCTCCGCCGTCCTCTTTGTGCGGGTGTTGCCCCACCTGCACAAGAAGGACAGCCCTAAGCAGCTGGCCCAGAACATGGATGTGACGGCTGATGGCCTGCTGGATACCGAGGCCCAGGACTTCTTCTCAGGCCTCAAGTCTCCTCGCCGGGCATCTTCAACCTGCACTGTGTGGAGCTGAGCAAGGGAGCCATCGAGCCCAGCCGCAAGGAGCACGCACAGTACCTGGAGAGCCTCTGCGAGCAGCTTGTGTCCCAGACCAAGGCCCGCATCTCCAGGAGGGTTGATGCTGCTTCCCCAGTGGCTGGTGCAGTGAGGATGAAGGGGACAGGAGGAGATGCAGGGCAGGGGAGGGGCAGGGGGATGGGGAGGTGGGAGGGGAAGGGGAAGGGGAAGAAGACCGTGGCTGGCTGCTCCAGGAGCTGAGCCACCACATGGCTCTGAGGGCCAGGAAGGGTTTGGCTGTGTTCCGCGGCCCTGAGGGGCTCCTGGGGAAGATCTGCCTGGCCATGTGGGAGCACACCAACGTCCGCCACGCGCCCCTGGTGGTGCAGGTGCTTCCGGGCGTGGGTAAGACGGCGCTGCTCTGCAAGCTGGCTCAGGAGGTGCGTGGCCTCCTGGATCCCAGGGCCGTGTTGGTGTTAAGGTTTCTGGGGACGTCGGCCGAGAGCTCCGACGTGGACCGCGTCCTCCGGAGCGTCTGTTTCCAGATCTGCGCTGCGTTCAGTTTGCTGCCGCTCCCCCCGCTAACAGCACACGTGCACGAGGACCTGGTGAGGTTCTTCCATGGCCTTCTAGCTGAGGTGTCGGAGCGAGGACACACACTTCTTATCATACTAGACGCCCTCGACCAACTTTCGTACGCCACCCACAGTCAGAAACTCCACTGGCTTCCCAAAGACATCCCCTGCAATGTCCATTTGGTGGTGTCCACCACGGATACAGGCTCTTCGGTTTTGGCTAAACTTCGGTGAATGGGCAAGGTGCCAGGAGATTTATTTGAGGTAGAACCCCTATCATGCGACCAGGGTAAAGAGATCATGGACGTCTACATGAGGGAAGCGCAACGAAGCCTGACTCCAGAACAGTGTGAAGTGGCAATGCATAGCTTTCAGCTGAGTGGGAATCCTCTGCATCTGAAGCTAGTGCTGGA